ATTGATTGATTGATTGATTGATTGATTGATTGATTGATTGATTGATTGATTGGGGTGGGCGCGTCCCTAAAACAACCCCCCTCTCCCTCCCCACAAATTCCACCCTTCACTACAAGACCACAATACTGCTCATGTACAACAATCATGAACCCTACCACACATCAACGACGTAAACGCTATCGTTTATCAAGATTTCATTTACAAGACAACAAAAATATTCATCAAACATGCACAAGAATCATTTTTTACAAAAAAATCCAGATAAAAAATCTTTGCTATATATCCTTATGGTCATGACATAATTGCTAGTCATATTTTTTTCTCAAGTTTCTAGTTACGGGTGTGGTGAAAACCCTTACCAGTTGTTTCATACCCTCAAAATAGAAAAGTTTTGTTTCATGCACTTAGAATCTTAATTACTGAGACATTTTCACTTTTACTAAGTCATAAGGTAAAACAATGGGAAACTTGTTCTTTAAAATTTTCTTTACAAAAAAAAAAAAAGTTATGAAGTTGTATCTTTAACTATTTCCAAACCATTCTCTTGATTCTTTTGTTTTGTTTTTGCTTTTCTTGAAGCTTTACAGTTACTACCATTACCATGTTGACACATTTCCTCCGTAACTTACATTTTCTTTACACCCAGTACCAAATCGCGACAATGGCCAAAAAAATAAGAAAAAAAATGATTTAAACAGTTGCATCATGACCATGAAGATGTAGAACCTAGTAAAATACTGATGTGATCTCCACACTTCATGTCAATACAGTAAAGCTGTCAGTGACGGACACATGCGTTGTCAGTGTAGCATTTACAGGGGAAAATTGCGAACTCTTTGTCATATACTTACATACACACACAGACACACACACTCACACACACACACACACACTCACATAAACACACACAGACACACATACACACACATCAGGTGGGAAATTCATCACAAACATAAATGTACATCTTACACAACCCAGCACACTCACAGTGCAGTTGTAGTTGGCATCATGCTCGATCACCTTACAGATGGCTGTGGTTCAATTCCTTGGCAGAGCCTCTGTGTACATCCAACATCATTCTAAATATATATATATATATACACATATATATATATGAATATATATACACAGCTTCACAGAACAACATTGCTTGTAAATTCCAGGATGAGAAAGAACACTGAACATTCACCTCAAAGGCAGAGGTTAAGTAAATTTCCCTGTCCCAGAAGACGTGAATACAGGGGAATCCGCTTAAACTGAAGATGTTGAATCTGAAAACAATAGTGAGCCGAAAGTAAAAAAGAATCCAAAACTTTTTCCTTCACAATTTGAGCAATCTTTCTAAACGGAATTAAACATCAGGCAGTCCCATCGATTTCGGTTTACACTGACGCCACTGTATTTCTTGCGCCCATAAACTCAAATCATATTCGTGTCCACCTACGTCTTCCTAACAATCCAATATATACAGATTAGTGGCATCGTTGTGCAATTAGACGCTCATCAAAATAATGAAATTGAAGAAACTGAGGTTTCTGCACCCGTTGGGTAGTTTTTATCAACATTTTTTCCTTTAGGTGTCAACATCTTTTAAAGTCCATTTAAAAACATATTTCTGTGTGAATTCTGCAGAAAAACGTTGTTAAAAGGAACAATTTTAATTTGAAGTTTTAAAGGTCACTCAAGCTTTGGAAGGCACCAAAACTACGAAGCCAATTCAAGCTACTTTTACCGCTGGCATCAGGTGACCCCCACCTCCTTTAATGGTAAATCTTTCGAATTCTCTTAAAGATAGATAGTTTGTTTTTCTCATCAAACACAACACAAATGAATAGGCTTGAAGATGATACAAGTAACTGTATATGCTCAAACATTGACGAGCGCCTGAATCCACAGCGTTCTGACACAGCCTCATTCAGTCATGTGCAACTCTCATGTCACTGCATCTAAAACTCCACTTTCAAATATTCTGGGAATGAATTTTGTGTTTTGTCAGGTACAATTTTACCCTAAAATCACATTTTTGCGAATACTTGACACATCCAAATACAGAAAGAGCCAGCACTCACAGCAGCCAATCTTAAGTCAATACATGCAGCAGCTTCACAAAATGGGTCACTTGTCACCCTCGGTTATTTCGAGATATCGGACAAGAACCTAGATTATATCGCAGCTGTGTCTTTACAACTCCCAAATTTCAGAAGACTATAACTTTGGATCCACAGCAGCAAGACTGATACTGTTTTTGCCACTTATCAGGGCTTGAACAGATCTTTAATTTGACACTCATAGCAACGGCTCAGTGTAAGACTCCATTTAAAAAAATACGCCAACTTTTCCAAATGGCAAATGGTGGAGCCTAACACTAAGCAGTCGATAGTGTTACATTGTTATATTGGCCTTGTGTTTAGGCTCTCGGACTCGCAACCATGAGGTCGAGGGTTCGAATCCCATCAAGGGTCCGACGTTGTGTCCATGGAAAGGCACTTTACACAGATTTTCCTTACTTACCCCAAGTGGGAATGGGTACCCAGCTATAGGCAGCAAAAGATCTTGTCAGTTTGTTAGTGTTTGAGTGCTTAATCAGCTTGTTGTGCTGTGTGCTTCCCAGGAAGTTGAGAATGTTTCTGAGTGTTCTTTGGATGGCTGGGGTAAAAATAAAATGTAAAGAGCATAGAGCTTACTGTGCATAGAGCTTACAAATGCTATTTACTATTGTTATTATTATTATTATTATCATCATATCATCAAAGTGTGACAAGTGACTCATTTTATCTTGTTGCTAGGCAAATCACACATAATAAGAAAACTGAAACGTAAAACAAAAGTCTACAGATGGTCCTCATTTACTTCTCAGTTTGCTCCCTTTCATCCATCCCACTGTCGCACCATTCATCCCCCTATCACAGCCGGACCACTTCACAATGGCCTGAGCGTTGTCATGAGAGGTGTGCAGTTCGAGTCCCCAGCATTACTTGTGGGAAACAGAGTTGGCCGACCCCGTCTTGAGTCGTTTGAGAGCGTTGCTGACTCGCACGCTGAGCCGGTTCTCAAAGTCGTAGTCTTTGTACGTGTCCTTGATCAGCTGAAGGTCAGACCTCGCCTCTTGTACTGTCTGCTCCATATTGGGGTGGGTGGGGGGTGGAAGGGGGATGGAAAGAGAGTTAATTTTGAGAGTGGATGTTTGTTCGAGAAAAAAAAGCAAATCCACACAATAAAGATGAATTAGTGCTGGGGAAAAGGAAAGGGTAAGACAGACAGCCAGAAACAACAGAGGAAAAGTAAAGAAGTTGGACCTACCAGTGGTGCCCTTCAACCACCTGCGTGAGATTTTCAAAAAATTTTTGTTTTTATACTAGAGGGTTTTACGGCGCTCGCAACTGCATAAGGTCATATGAGCGCCAAGGGGTGGATGTCAACAGAGAAGTCTTTACAGGGAATCAGACTTAGACTGCTCACCTCTCTAGCTTCAACAGCACAAGGTCTGCTTCGACCATCAAGGCACCCCAAAATAGCAGGTCACAAGAGAGTGACAAACATACAAAAGAAGTAGAGGAAAATGACAATAGTAAGGATCAAGAAATAAAAAGCAGCAGCTCCCTGTTGTAGTTCAGGCACATTGTTGGATCCTCCCATTTACAATTCTACTGTTCATTAGAACGAGAAATGTCCCCCCTTTGGGAATGGCCTAAAGACACTTCAGTCAAAGGCACAGCCCCGAGGGGTGAGTGGATGTTTGTTCGAGAAAAAAAAGCACATCCACACAACAAAGATGAATTAGTGCTGGGGAAAAAGCAAGAGTAAGACAAACAGAGAGAAACAACAGAGGGAAAGTAAAGAAGTTGGACCTACCAGCGGCGCCCTTCAACCACCTGAGTAAGTGGAAGGGAACACAAACACATATACAATTAAACCTGCTCTAAAGGCCACTAGTATAAGACAATAAGACAATCACCTGCACAAACGACAGATTCCGCATCCTACACTGCCCTTAAAAAAAATAAATTATAATGACGCTATCCACTCATCTTTTGGGCTCAGAGAACCACTTTACTCCTGGACAACGGGTGGCCGTCTTGATCATTTTTGACATGCAACACACAAGTTATTAAAGTGCTGAAGATTAGAGGTGGTACTAGAGAGTAACGCACCAAGAAAAGAAGGAGGAGAAATTAGAACGACAGATGTTTGGGAGGAGAAACAGGTTACAGAGCAAAGTATACCATAGTAACTGTCAACATTCACACAAAAAATGGGGTCCTGATGATAAGATACAGTGGGTTTGCAGATAAGACACCAAAAAAACAAACAAATTTTAACTGGAGGAGCGACCCTCAATTTGGCTGCTTTGGGTCAAACTATGCAAATTGATATGTTGGTTGATTTTTTAAGGTCAGCCATTTCTTAGTCTAAAAAAAGCAAGGAGACAACTGAGAACATCTTTATTCTCGTCGTATATTGCCTTTGAAAACATGAGGGGGGGAGGGGAGTTTAAAATGTAGTGAAATTTCACAATTGTCGTTTTGATTAAATTGTCTTTTCTTTCAATCTTCCCCCTACTCCTTCTTTAGTTTTTCTCCTTTTGACATGAAACTATCAGGAAAGATAGATGGCAAGGCTGCCATTAATGTAACAGAGCGATATTTGCGAAAAAAAACACCACTTTTCCATTGGCAAACGATAACGCCAGCAAAATTTAGAAAAGGTTTATTTACATTGGGAAAATTATCATACTTTTTTTTCTTTTCCATTAATTGAAAAATACTCTGTTACAACGATAGGGACTGGTTAAGAGATTTTTCTATACCTAACTTATACGTGTACTTAGATTTGATCTCGGGTAACAAATATAGAAAAAAAATGACCTCGAGGGTCGCTCCTCCTGTGAAGGAACATACCTGTGGATTTTTCATGTATATAGAAGCCAGCTCGAAGAGGGTGAAGGCTGGGATAAACATGTCGTCCTTCTTGCCTTGGTGTCTGGCTAAGGCCTCCTTTAGGCACTGGGGACAACACAAACACACCGACACATGAATACATGCACACACACACACATTTTATTACAAACAATAATTTAGATACATACACATATCCTTCGACCCAAATCACACACCTGACTTTAACATGTACCATTCATTTCTGGAGGGATACAATGTCCTTGCAGACAGACGAAGATACTCAATAAAAATTGTCCCCTCACTGGAACTGAACTCACATCATGCGCATACAACGGTTAAGTATGTAACTGCTACAGTTTTGTTTTAGTTTTAGTAAGAGTTTAAAGGCACTTGCAACACAATAAGGTCACATAAGTGCTAAAGATTAGAGGTGTTACAAGAGAGTAACAAACATAAAAAAGAATGAGAGATAAAGACGATAGATGTTTGATAGGAAAGAAGGAGCAAACCACACCAGAGCACCCGCCAACCACCCACTTTGCTACAGTTTTGAGTTTGAGTAAAGAGAAGCACACTGACACAATTACATTCATATTAACCGCTATACCACAGATACTGGTGAATACTCAAACACAGATAATTTAGACAAGTACAAGTATAATTTTTCCCCAAATCACAAACCTGACTAAGACAGTAAACATCACAGCTACAATGCTGGTATTCTTTTAAATTTACATTTTGGTCATTAAAAAAGCATATTAGTCCTGACACGGTGCAGTCACGCACTTGTCAATATTGGGGTTTATATAACATGTTATAGATGGCATCTCAAAGCTTCTTCCTTTGTTTTGCTTTTTGTGTAAAAAAATACCCATCTTGAAAAGAAATCAAGATATTTTTGATTGACGGAGATAGGGATTGCCAAGCGTCAGATGTAACATTAACTCACTTGCGACTGGGCCCTTTCACCAGC